CACTGGCCGGCGGATGGAATTCGGAGGAGGCCTAATCTGTGGGATCTAATTGGTCTAGTGAAGTACCTCTAAGGTAAACACAATGATGCAAAACATATATATATAATAGGTAAACAGCAATAAGGTTTATTAACAGGCCTTACAAAGTAATAAAATACAATCAAGTTTCTGTGGGTCACTTTTTAGTTCCCAAGTGGGTTGACTTTCATTGTCTCTCTTAACCTCTGGGCTTTTTCCTTTGAAGGTTTAAAACTCTTTGCAAATGAGGTTCACCAACCTAATTAAGACATTCCAGCCCGCCCGTCTCTCTAATATGTCCCCAAAGGCAAACGGTTAAAAAAAAAAAATTTCAGCACAGCTGGCGAGAAAACAGTGCAAAGGATATCTTCCTCTTTGATTCTCGTATATGGCGTTTTCAATACTGACGTTGTGGTTTCAAGGATAACCAGCCCTTCTCCCGTTCTCCAAACACCCAGCTTAAAGGTCCTTGCAAAATAGAACCTTCCAGGCTCTAAAGCCAACACGGATTTACAATTTGATCATTATTCACCCTTCAAGAAAGAGAGAGAGTGTTCCTCTCATCTGGTTGTTTTTGCAAGGAAAAAAAGAGAGAGAGATAAAGTGCAGCATCTTGGCAACGGACACGATTTCGAGGTTGCCCCCAAAAAATTCTCCTTGAACAATTTTATGGACCCAAACCCCAAATTTCTGCATGGGGCGTGTAAAGCAATTCTCCCCATCCCAGTTCAAATTAAAATCCAAATACGTTCAGGAATAAAGTGCCAATTTTCATCCAGTTTTCCCCCCCAAAACATGAGCTGAAAAACCAGCTGGGCACATAACATCTTTGGAGATTCTGAACATCAAAATCCCCACTTTTGTCTTTAATCACTGTATTCCTCAATCTCCTGTAAAACGGAGCACTTACACCCTATTTTCCGCTTCGTATGTTGGGGTTTCAAGTAACTTGCCAAGGAGGGCTTCCGGCTCACCTTCCTGGCTAGGGAGGTCGAGGAAGAGGAGACGGCGGCCGGCCGGATGATGGGATGAGTTGGGAAGATGGTCCTGCCCCGAGGGCCCCCCAAAAGCTGCCATATTTCCCCCGAGGCGTTGGCGCTCAAGTACTGCCAAGCCCTTTTGCCGCTGCTGTCCCGCACCTGCGTCCGGCAATGGAGCCTCTGCACCAGGATTTTCATGACCAAGGGATGGCTGTGGATGGCCGCCAGGTGTAGCGGGGTGTAGCCGCAACCGGAACGGACGTTGACGTCCAGGACAATCCCGGCCTCCTCAGCGCCGGCGACAAAGTCCTGCAGCGCCTGGGCATTCCCGTGCTTGGCCAGCCAGTGAAGCACCGTGAAGCCGGAGACGAAGTCCCTGTGGAGTACCAGGTGAGGGTCTTCCTGGAGCAGCGCCCGGACCTGCATCCAAGACCCCGTGGCAATTTTCACCAGCCAGGTGTGTTCTCGGCCGTCCAGGGGCACCAAGGAAGACCTGTGCTCCGCAGAGCCATCTGAGTTAGGAGCCAGCCTTTCCGCCAACGGGACATTCGCCACGGATCTTTGTCTGGGTGCCAACCTGGGGCTTAAGGGGGCATCCAGATTTGGGGATGGCGGTCTGACCGTTTTCAACAGATCCTGGCTTTCTGTTTTGCCCATGGTGGTCGCTCTGCTAACAATCCGGTGCAGCAAAGCCACATGAGGAGGGGGCTTGGCATCTTGGACAAGGGGCATTACAAGGGGCGTCATCACCACCATCAGGCCGTTGCTGTGGGGGGCGTCCCCCGGTCCCTCGTGGCCAGCTGAGTTCCGGATGCCGCTGCCGTCCGCTTCCCCGTCCCTCGGATGGGAGCCGCTCCCCCAGCTGGCACTGCTGCCCTCCTCGCTGACCGAGCTCTCCTGCTCCAGGTGGCCTTCCAAATCCTCCAAGGAAAGGCGGCTTCGGATGCTGCGGAAGACGGGCACGGGAGGCTCCCACCAGCCCTCCGAGGACCCCCAATCCAGCGACCCACCAGGGCGGCAGGAGCTCCGGTCTGAGCTTTGAGACCAGGCTGGCACCGGGAAGGCTTCCTCGCCTGCCAGGGAGGGCTGGGATGGCATGGAAGCCGCATGATGGGTGACCACCCAATCCCGAATCCTTTGCTGGGCGCTGCCGCCGTTGGGAAGCGCGCCCATTTCTCCGATGGGTAAACCGAGGCCGTTGGACGACTGAGGCGGATCCGGGGCGTCTGGCCGGGGACCTTTTCTCTCTCTCCCAAGGCAGCCCAGGGGAGGCGAGGGCCGAGATCCGACTCCAGGCGAGGCGGGCGGGCACCTGCCGGCCTTCCTCCGGGCCGCCGCGACTTCGCCATCCGAGAACCGTCCGGTTTCCCGCAGAGCAGCCGCAGCAGCAGCAGCGGCGGCTCCCGGTGACTTCGGGGCTTGCTGGAGCTGCGGCGGAGGCGACCGGCCGACTGGAGCCCGCGGCGGTGGTTCGGATTCCTCCTCCCCGATGAGGTCCCGGTACCGTTTCTTGAGCACCACGTAAGTGGCGGCGGCGGGCCCGTCCTGGCTGACGGTGGCCACGGAGTTGACGAAGCCCTTGAAGAGGTGGCGGCGGCGCTGGAGCTGCCCGGGATCCGCCCGGGGGTCGCGCAAGAACCGCTTGAAGTGGCCCAGCAAAGCGGCGTTGGCTACCCGCCCGCCGGCCCGGCAGAGGAAATCCAGCAGCTCGGCTTGGCTCAGCTCCTGCGCCATGGCTCACCTGGCCTCTCCCGCTTCCTTCTCCTCCTTCAAGCCATGCCCGCCCTGGGGCGCCTGCCCGCCCCGTCCCCGAAACAGAAACCGGGCCGTCTCCGCCTCCGCCTCCCGCCGGGAGCTTCTGAGCCAACTTCAGCCCGGGCGTCGGTTTCACCTGCGCTTTTTCGTGGCTCCGCCCACTTTCCCACCGCGGCGCCCCGCCCCTCCCGCGCGACGGCCCCACCCCCGCTCCCTGGTTGGAAAAAAAAAAAACCCTTACCTCCCCCATGGGGTGAATTTTTTCCCCGCCACTCTTGCAAAGAAACTTTGTTTTTTTAAAAAAA